ACAGGTTCCTCATACAGTACATTACGCATATTTCGTATAGAAACCCTATAGGTTTCACCAGCGTTTATGAGCTTTGACTGATGTCCGATCACGAACTTTTAGCCTAAGCCCTGGCTTCGTTTCGGTCTAGCTGTTTTAGCTTTAGGGACATCGGCCAAAGGGTTTGGAGCTGACGATTTAGGTTTTCAGGGTTCTGGTTCTCGCAAAGCACTGCGTGTGTTTCCGCCTGTGTGCGGCCTGGCACTGCAACGGCTTGCGGCATCTGGTGCATATTCAACAGTCAGGGCCAGTTACTGACCTGGGTTCGCGGTTGCGGGTGCAACTGCAAGACATCGATTGCCATCTTGTAATCCCAGCCCTAAGCCTAACCTGAAAGCATTGGTTGATCCTATGGGAAAGATCAAAGGTCCGGTTCCAGTGCTCACCACACAGTTCAGTCATGCACCCAAGAAAAGAGCCACAGGTCCCTTGTCCGGCCGACAGTTACGAAGCCTTAACCGCAAGGAAGAATCGCGAGGCTTTCAAATTTCATCCAAGGTTCCAAGCGCTTTCGAAGGCGATATGACGCGATGTTTCATTCCAGGTTCTCTCTCAACTTTCCCTCGCCTATACTTGCTGTGATTTGGCGAGCACAGCATTCTTTCTTCTTCTCCTCTCTTTCAATTTTCTCTCGCCCGTCAGAGCCGGGGGGCGGCATGGCCGTGCTCTGTGTTGCCGGGGTTCCTTCTTTCGCATCTTTCGCCCGCCTGAGCCGGGGAGCGGCGTAGCCGTGCCCTGTGTTGCCGGGGTTCCTTCTTTTCTGCCTGTCTGGCCGGGGGGCGGCCTGGCCGCATCCTGCGCTGCCGGGGCTTTCTTCTCTCGGGGAGTTTTTATTCCACGTGCCTCAAGGGACACGGTTTTTCCCCTCTCGGGATTCTCGTATCAGAGTTTAGTATAGGGGCTTCAGCGCTCTTTTGGATAACGCTGGCTGGCAGAGGTGCGAGCACAGCTCCCACGATGTGGCGAGATGTTGAATCAGTTGCGTGCACGAAAACGACGACGATGACCACTACTATGATGATGCACACTACTATGATGATGCAAACTACAACTGCTTCTGCTGCCGCTGCTGCTACTATTACTGCTGCTGCTGCTGCTGCTACTACTACTACTACTACTACTACTACTACTGCTACTACACGATTATTTCGTGGCCCGCAGCTATAAGCAGGCCTATGACACCGCCACTCAACGTTTGGCTCTTTTTGTTTGGGTGGCCAGAGCCAGATTCACTTGCATCTCCACACACTAATTGTGGATATATGAAAAGAATGAAGTAGACTTGGATTTAAGAAGCTTCTTGCACGTTGGCAGCCCCAGCCCCACTAGTAGTCACTAGCTTGTTCTGGACTGGGTGTTTCACTACCAGCCTGTGAAGCTGCAGGTGGGAATATGGTAGCGGAGCTGGGCTGTTGTGTGTTTGTGGAGACTGTTTAAACTACTGCCGCGCCAATTCGGTGCACTGTGCTGCTTAATTGTAGATTCTACAGTCTGGCTTTACGTTTGCCTGACGTGTCGCTCTCAACCAAGATAACACGCTGACGTTGCAGGCTTAGCAACGTTTGAGATCTTTCTTCTTTCTATCACAGGAAGAGCAGACGCTCAGCACGCTGCTTTCTGCCTAGAGTTCTGCTCGGAGCGCACTTCTGTCATCACTACGCTGCTCAAGCAACATCGTGCGAAATAGATTGGAATGCTGGGTAGCAACGACTATACGGCTCTGTGAGGTAGATTGACGTGCTAGGTTACCGAGCTTGGAGCACTGCGAGCTAGGCTGAAATCGTTCTCGATCAGAGAGGTTTCCGCATGTGATGCCGGAGGTGGGACAACAAAGGCTCAGCGAACTCTTTGTTGCTCCCGTAGATGAGTTGCTGCATGCTTTTCTGGATGAGAAAACATCTGTGCCGAGACATCATCCCAGACTCCACAGACACAAAGTATTCTGTGATAGTTGTCTGCATTATTGGTGCATCCTCAGCGTGTGGCTCTCAGCCTTTCAACAACATCTAGCATTCTGCCAGCTTACTTGCTCTCGGCTGCCGCGCGGCAGATATTGTAGTAATGTCTTTGCACTTTGTGATGCGACTACATCTCTCTTCAGTACTGCGATCACCCTTGCGATCGCCAAGGTAATCCCTCGATATGGAGGTCACCTTGAGTAAGGCAGTTTTGGTCAAGCTTACGAGCACAGTTTTGCAACGCTCCGATCTCAGTTCCGCTTATAGTCCCTACACGGGACCTTCCACAAGCATCGCTAGAGGCGTGTATGCCGTGGTCAGTGAGCGCAACAAGCCACTCCGCTTCTTGGCAAGCGCAAGTGTTACATTCTCAAGATGTTTGACTATGGTAAGTCTTTCGAAATACGTTCTCTACCGAGGCACCATCGCAGAAGTCGTGGGTGCAGAGCCGCTGGCTCCAGCCATTCCAACATCGTCACCGGTCTGTCGCGCGGTTTATGTCTGGTCTGTGATCAAAACACAGGGTTGGTATGAACATATTTCACCTGTGCAAGGTTCGTTGCCAGCGTATTCCACGCCGCTGACGTATACCCGCAAGACGAGCTTCTTGGTGTCGTGATGGCTTGCAAGCTAGCGTGTGATCCCGTTTCTGAGGCGAGTCTTGCCTCCAACCCAAAGCTGAATAAGTTTCTGCTTCCCTTGAAAAACATAAACTCTTGCGGCAAAGACAATGACGGTCATGGTCTGCTTAGGCGTCGCCATCCCGTCGACCACGCCGGGCTATCCGCTTCGCACGGACGCCAACAGCAACCGCTGGGAGCCCTTACAGCCCCTTGTAGCGGTATGGCACACGCTTGCGTCGCACCTACCCGGCGGGAAGCGCCGCCCTCTGGCCTTCCAGCCCCACTTCGGTGGGAGAAGCCAGAAGTGCAGGGTTGTGGATGAGCCATACACGGTCAACAGTCCGTGCAAAGTCAAAACACTGGGCAAGGGCCCAGATTACCTCGGCTTCTACCAACGAAAAGAGCATCTCACGAGAGCTCACCGCCGCAAGGGCAGAGGTCCACGCAACAAGCGGCTTTACAATCCGCCGATGGAGTCTGGCGCTTAGTCAAGCTTTCCATCTATGAAAGGAACAGTCGTCCTTAGTCTTTTGAGATTGCATGTCTCAGGTCCAAAAAGAAAGCCGATGCAATGCAGCGGGAAGCTCATCCATGGTAGGTGTCCAATGGATTTCGCGGATCGCCGTGCTACTGGTATGTGAAGAATGCACATGCGAGGTGCGGCGAAAACGACTATGCGGAGGAAGTGACGCCGGTCAAGTTATATACTCAGAGACACGCAAGCTGTGTGTAGAAGTTTAACCAATGGAAACGAGTGTAATGCTGGCTGGTTGCGCTCGCAGCAAGTGCCCACATGCATGCAAGACTTGCTTGATAGGACTGAGTACGCATTGTGGGAAGGCAAGCAAACCAACATTGTGAGGCAGCATGACCCGAGTGACACGAGCTCCATGAGCATGAACGTCGACTCGTGTGTGCCACTGCCCGAGTCGGAAAGCCATGCTTGCAAATCCAGGAAGTAGTCGTAATTCTATTCGTCAGAACTGAACGGAGGGATGACAGCTGTATGGCGCTTCTGGACAACCCGCGGCTGGCTTGGCCGTCAACGCCACGATGGTGTTGGGCGCCAAGAACCAGCCACAAACACTGTGTCTCTGTGTGCGCTGGACACTGTGAAACCATCTTCATTCATTGGTTCATTCGCTCAATTGTTCAGTTAGCCTGTGACAGGCAGAGATCTATCGGATACCATCCTCAAACGCAGTGGCTTGCAAGCCGATATCCGCGGTGTTCTTGATGACGAACACGGACAGCAGCAGTGCTGATCTTCACTTGCAGTATAGTCTTCGGCGCTCTTACTCCAAGAGTATCGTCCGTGTCTCGAGACAGCTCGTATCGTATGAGACCCAGGGACCAGCTGGCGACACATGGGTAAGAAGCTGGGATCGCCGCCGAATTGGTGCTGCTCGACTCCGTTATTGTAGTTAAGTGTGCAAGCGGCTACCCTTCTTCAAAAATATAGAAACCTTACCTCTCGTAGTCGTAGCTTGGGTGGGACATCTCTGAGAGAACAGGCGATGCCCTCGTCAGCAGTGTGACGAAGCGCCTTCGGAGCACTGGCGACACGATTGCAGAGTCGAGCGGTGCGCTGGTGCGGACAATACTGTTGAGGTGGGCGCGACTAAGTGAAAAGGTTGCAAGGATACAGTCTTTGTTGCGGTGACCTGGCTTGGGCTTCCATGCCACTGAGAAACGACAACTTCTCTGCAGAGACTCAGCAGATACCCCTTTGTTTCTCATAAAAAGCTACAGAAGTGTTGGTCACTGTTTGGCCCTGCATGGTTGCTGTTCAGGAAGCGTGGGCCAATCACGATTGCCTTGACGAGGCGACGCCCCATGAGCAGGCGTGAAAATCGAGAGTGACAGCCTAAGACCTTAGTTATGACCGACCACGGGCTTTGGCTTTCATGACCGAAGCATCGAAAGGCACCAGATGCTTGTGTGGGAACTGCTACGACATGATGCATCATCTTTGCCGAAGTCAGCCAAAACGAGGAGCTCTACATTGCAAATGTCCGGCACATGCCACTTAGTACTGGATGTTGGTGTGTAATGTCCGAGCAGCCGACGTGTCTATCATCGGTGCTCGTGTTCTGCAGACCTTCGCATGTCTGAGGCAAGCAGTACTATCGCGACAACTGCTTGGTGGACGCGCTGCGTGCGCTTGGGTTCAAGGTGCCATACAGCCAAGACGGTCCGTTCTATGTGCTAAAAGATGGCAGAAAGATGCTGGCGCCACTGGAGCAACTCGTAAACAACTTAAAACGAGCGTTGATGCGCGAACCTGTAGCAGTGGACATCAAAGATGTGCAGGTGTGTGTGTGTGCTTCTGGCCCTTTACTACAAGTCATGTGCATGACTGAGGCACACCGTCGACCCTATGCCGGACCTGAACAACAACATTGCACCCGGAAAGTACATTCTCTACCGAGCACATCACTTCGTCGGCATGCGTGCTCATTCTGACGGCTCTTGTTCTATCAGTTGCAGCCATCGAGCACATGAATCTGTCGTTGTCAGCCTCTGCGACCTGGATCCCACCCAATACGATCATATGTTCAAAATCACGCGTGTGTCCTATGAAAACGAGACCAGCCCGTTTGACTTGGATATTTCGCAGGAAACAATGAACGGACCCACTGGAGGCGATGTTAGTGGTGGCAAACTTTTCGCAGTCTCGGCGGTTGAGTTTCTTGACGTACTCATCAACCCCGAGCGGTGGCACGATGACGTGCTGCACACGCCCGAGCCGCGTGCTGCTGAATTGGTTCTGGCAGAAAACTTACTTTCTGAAGATGAAGACGAAGACCTTGGGCCTGTACTCATCGACTCGATGTCCGACATTTCTAGCGAAGAAGGTTTCTGGGACAACAGACCCGACTGGTATGAGCGGGCTATGGCCCTCCGTGGAGCAAGGCCGCTGGCCGAAGACTGTGTCGGAGGTTCGGATGAAATCTTGGCGCAAATACATCCTTCAGCAGAAGAAATTTCGTCTGACATCTTGAGAATCATTCCAGGTTTTTTCGATGAGTACGATGAAATCCATAACCTGGCATCCTGCAGCCGGGAGCTGCGATCTGTCGTGCTCGACAAGAGCTACTGGCGGGGCACACACATAGATCTTGTTGGGTCCCCCCTCGCAAATGCCCCACAAGCAGTCAGCAACGCGGCCAAGCTCTTTCAGCAGGCGGCTTCTCTCACGATGGAGATTGGGCAGCTGGCTTGTGTGCAAGACATCCCACGCCAGGCCATCATTCACTGGTATCCCCAGGAGCTCGACATTCCGGGGAACAACGTCCGCGGTTGGGCAAGCACTCATTCGCTCTTCGGGGCGGTAAGATTTTCGTTGACCGTGCCACGCACCGTGACCGCTATCTACATTGGTGCCAAGGCGACGGCAAGCAAGCAAAGGTCTTACATGAAGATTGCCGCTCCTTACCAGACTTCTTGTCAACTGTCTGTAGGATACAGCGGATCACCTCCGCAGGAGTTTCCATCGAACATGGTCAACCGTTTGCTGGCTCCTCCGGGCGCCGCTAACGAGTTTATGTTCTTGTGGTCCAACCGCCGATTGCAGCTGTATTTGAACAGGCAAAAGATCGGCACAGCTCACCTTGAAGAAGGTTTTGCTGAGATGCCGGGAGCATTTTCTTCAGTGTTTGTTTGGGTGATCTCAAATTCATTCGCCACTGAGCCGCCTACCTTCAGTGCTCTGCTGTCACCCATTGATCCTGGCCCTTTGGTGAGGCTGGGAGTAGAACTTAACCATTCGAAAGACGCTGTAGGTAGTCTGTCTTGTTCATGATTCTGTAGTGCCCCTGCTGAGGTGCGACTGCTGTGGCCATCATGAAGCATTGACGGCATCTCGTCGTCGCTGGGCAGTCTGCTACATGTGCTCTTCCTGGGTTTGCAAAACCCACACAATGGAGACGCCTGGTGACTTGTGCCCGTCCTGCGATAAGCTTCCACTAAGTGACTTCATTGGTGGGTCTTTCAACAGTGAAAAGCGCAAGGGCATGGGACGACATGCGTCCAACACTGAGCATGGCCCAGTGGAGATACGGGGCTGTTCTTTGCCGCTTGAAGTGATACTTGATCTTCCGGTACACTTCTTTTCTCCAGGGTATCTCCGGTCGCTCGCCCTCGTCTGCAAGACGGTTCTTCGCTCAGTCCGATGTGCAAACCGATGGAAGCATCGACGTTTATCTATCTGCGGCGAAGAATTCATGAATGAGGATATTCTGCATCGCATGCAACGTTTCCACACCCTGGCCGATGTCCTACACATGCAAATTCTCCACGCGGCGCTATTCCGCTCCTTGCCAACCAATGCATTGCTTGTATGGGAAGTTCACGCGACGACCCGAATGTTTCGCGAGAACGTAGAGGTTGCAGAGTTCCGCTCGACGTGCCCATTGCTAGGGATTGCGTCGTTCGACCTTTACATTCCAAAAGATTCTACATGCCTATATTTTGCAGTCCGAGAATGGCACGGCGACACGAGCTCATATTGTCGCATCCTCAGGCCCTTCGACCAGGTTCCATTGGGTCATATAGGCTTCAACACCTCTCTTCGTCTTCCTCCGCACCCAGGTAGAGCGCAGTACGGATTGGTACCTGACTCTTTCAATCGCATCGATTTGCAATGGAACGAGAACTGCTATGTGGTGAATGTGAATGGCATCGCCTGTTACACTGCAAGTGTTGCAAATGTTTTCGCCCGAGTGACTCCTTCTCTGGCGCAGCTTCGTGTCGAAGTCTACCGTTCAAGAACCGAAGGTGTTTGTCGGTCTGTTTTGAAAGCACTACCCAGCGTGATGCAAGTGAAGACCGAAATCAAATGTGAAATCTGTGAGCAGGGATATCCGTTGGATCAGCCGAGATGGTCCGTGTGTCCAATCTGCTGCACATGGGTGTGCCGGATTCATGTGCGGAGATCACCTTTGCGTATTTGCAATAACTGCCCTGGATACTTGGATGACTATCTGGGAGGAAGCTCATCTTCCGCCAACACCGTGCTCACACAGAAGTCAGTGGCTGTTACGGCAGCTCAAAGGAAGCGGCTTGTCGACTCCAGGCTCCAAGCGTGCAAGCGAAAAGCAAGTCAATTGGTTCTGCTGGATGGCTTCATGCCCAGACTCCGACAGCCAGACTCGTTGACTTTTGCGATTTCACCAATTGATTTCAACCCGGAGACTGCACCGGATGTCGATGTGCTGAAGCTCTTGCACGCACACCCCAGGGACTTCAGAATTCGGTTTCAGGCGTCAGATCATACCTACTACATCGACGGGGTGCAGACAAAGGGCTCAGTCACCGGAATGATTCACGCCTTTTCTCAACCGTTCGATGCGGATGCGGTTATCACCAAGATGATGAGCGGCAAGAATTGGCCTCGGGCAGGATATCTCAAACGTGAAGTTTCGTTGATGTGGATGAGCCGGCTTACTGTTTATTATCCAGAAATACTGCATTTGTACGCCGGCAGCCCGAGAGATGATGTTCACATTTGCACAGCTCTCCGAGAGATCGCCAGCTACCACGACATCGAAGACGAGCTTGCACAGCTGACGATGCCTCGTGACGCCATCAAAACCATGTGGAATGCTGCTGGGCGGGAAGCAGCGCACCAGGGCACTCACATGCACTATCTCTTCGAAGCCCTCCTCAATGGTCACTCGGTGCCCGCCGTCTCCCCAGAGGTTCGGATGCTGCAAGCCTTCCTACACAACACTGCAGCAAATTCAACAGCCTGGCGGACTGAGTGGACTATCTTCGGCGATGTTGAGAGAATTGCTGGCTCCATCGATTTCTGTATGCAGCTACCCGATGGAAGTATGATGCTGGTCGACTGGAAACGTACCTCTGGTTTGCCCGGCAAGTACCACTCATACCAGGCCATGCGATCACCGATCGCTCACATCGCAGATTGCACGGGGATGCACTACAGACTACAGTTGAACGTTTACCGACATCTGCTGGAGAAGTATTACAATCTGAGAGTTTCACGCATAGTGGTAGTCTGCTGTCACCCTGAACACTATCCGGAGGCCTTTGTGGACGACGTCCCCCGACTTGAGAAAGAAACCCGGGACCTGCTTCGTGCGTGGTGTGACGTTGGCGGAGGTAGTGATGCGCAACTCCCAAACACTCTGGCCAAGGCTATACGAGAATATGTGTTCTTTGACAGAGTGCAGCTGCTGAAGCACTGGGCCCTACAGAATATTCATGAAATCACTGCATTCCCTCGTCTTTGGACGTTGTTTCCATCGCCCTTTTCTTCGCCAGACAACGACCACCATTGGCATTTCTGATTGAGTTCCGCGTTGCAGCACTGTCGCACAGCCAGCCAAGTGATGCCACATGACATCCTCTTGAAGCGACGACAAGGATATACCACCAGTGATTTGGACCGCTGCTCGAAACGGCTCTTCGCCTAGATTGTGCTCCTGCTCGAGTTGATCCCACATGCAGACGTTGTGGACTTCTCTCTTTGGCCGTCTCCTTTTGACACTAGCGTCAGCAAGAGATGCTGGGAGAGATGGTGTCTTGACATGCGGAGTACTATCAGGATCGTGAACGGCGAGGGTGACCTGGTGACTAACAGCGAGAGACCTTTTCATGTTTCTCTGGAAGCTGTATCCAGCAATCGATGCGTGGACGTTGAAGGAGGATCTAGTTCCGGGTCGGACATGAAAGATCGCCAAGAGCACCGTCACAAAGTTGTTGCCGGTACGATCTATCAAAACCTTGCTTTCTTTCAGGAATATCCCACTGCCGTGTATCTAATTCCGGACCTTGACAGTGTCGCCTATCACAGCAGGAGACAATGGGAAAAAGCAATGTTCGAAGCCAGAAAATTGATCAGACTTCTCAGGACAGAATATCTTCAAAAAACGTACATTCTCTACATGTACGTCCACACATTTCTGCGCAGAAGGACAGCAGCGCAGGCACTGCTGGTTTCGGATGTGGAGCATCCCTCACAAACAGAGCAGTCCCAGCGTGAGTGGGTGCACGGCCTCATCGCCTTTCTTATCGAGCACGTTTTTCCGATCGGACGACATGGCAAGCGTGATATCATAAAGAAGTTCCTGGGTGATGATGTATTTGGACAAGTCGCAAGCGACTGAAGCGGTTGAGTTGGGTGTTGTGGATGTATGTGGGGGTGCCTCACAAGAAAGTCACATGCCAGCAGTCGGTAGTCGTCCGGACGAGGCGGATGCGATGGACATCGCGGAATCAGCTCCTGAACAAGATGATGCTTCCTCAGGAGAAGACCCTGAGCCGAGAATCACACAGGACCTGGAAGAAGTGCTGCAGATTCAGGAAACAGAAAACAAACAAGCGGCTGATGCGCTGGGACTTGCGCGCAAAAGGAGATTGTTGCCAGGAGCCGACACCACAGCATCACAGTTTGCAGCCACCTTTGCTGCCTTGCGTAATTGCGCTGATAACTCCTTCGCGAACGTCCAGCGCATGCACCTGGCCCATGAGCTTAGTATACCAGAGCAAGTCAGGCGACTGCGCAACCAGATTCTGCAGCAGTTTCCAGGGCTGAACGAACAGGTCCTGCGCGTGGCCATTGGCGCTTTGTGTGTGTATCGTCTCAGGCTCACGGACATGCACGTCAGGAAAATGGTGTTGCTGCTGTGGGTTGTGGAAGGAGACACTCACATGCGTTGTCACAACGGAAATTTGTATTTTTTCCATTCGGGCACCGTTGCGATCCATCGCGGCATTCCACCGCAGGGCACACTGGCAAGATGCAAAAGATTTTTTCTGCATCTGGAAGGCTTCTTTCGCCTGATGGCAAATGCACAGCTGATGACTGACGACAATATTCTGAGCCAGATGCAACGTTTGCTTTCGGACAACAACGACTCGGCGCAGCAGTTTTTGAATAGCTGCGAAGATGCGGCACGTGGACATGTGCCCGCGCGTGGTGTTGTTCGGAGAGGCCGGTCTGTTATGGCCGATGCCTTAAATCCCGGCGAGCCAGATGATGGTTTCACCGGCCGTGCCGGCGGACGGTGCGAAGGCATAGCAGACTCGCTAACAAGAGCCGGGTTCACTCTCCAGAATAAACTGCTGGAAGACAAGATCTTCAGTTTGGTTGTGGAATGGTGTGACAGTCCGCAAACTCGCACTGCTGGTGTTGCGTACAAGGATTGCGCTGTTGTGCACGGCACTTCTCCGGACGAGCAGCCGGTCCGCTGGGCCCTGGGCAGGCCTGAGGACAACCTTTACATCCACATTCCACATCCCTTACTCGATCCAGTACAAGAGTGTGCTCAGTCCCGCCTGGAGCGGTTCTACGCCGAGACCTTTTGGCTTAACAACGATGTCGCTCGCCTAGGTTAGTAATTGACAGTTTCACTGACAGTTTCACAAAGAAACGAGTGTATTATAGGATGCATGACCGGTGTGTGCGCATGCAGACAGGTATTTGCGTGCAACCAAGCCGCCATCGCACTGGCCAAACGAGGCGAGAACATCGTCCGGTGTTTCATCGGAGTCAGTCCTGGAGGCACATGTCGAGCGTGCTCTTTATAACTGCTATGACGGTGACAATAAAGAGCTACGATGCACTAGTTCAACGCATGCACTTGGCAATTCGCAGTTAATCCGGTACCTGTCAGGAGTTGGGCAGTCTTTGTACAGCTCCCATCTTGACGCGGTCTATGCTTCCAACCACGCATTCATCGACCCGTAGATCTGGTACGATGAACATGAGATGCGGAAGCAGGTGGAGCAATCCGCTGGCTGCTTCATCCTGACGGCGCAGGAGAAGCCTGAGAATGCTCGTAAAATGCGAGAGGATCTGTTCAAAAAGACTATGTCAGCCGACGGCATCGCAGGACGCAGGCCGTACGGCATGAGTACCAGAATGATCGAGCTGGTGGGATGGAAGCGATATGAAGTCAACTCGATGGTACGCTTCAGCGGAGTTACGGAAAAAAACTTTCCATCAGCTCACAGACGTGGGTTCGTGTGGCTTCCGAAGGCGCATTTCATAGACGGCAGTATCATTACCTTTCAATATCCGGATGCTTCCATGGATGGTTACTTTGCTAAGGACGACGATTTAAAAGCTTTCCTGCGAAGCGGACCCTGCGTGGCAGCTTCGCTTCGACTGCAGCATGCTTTTGAGTCTGCTCACGGCGCACAGGCTTGCCGCGACTTAATTGAGGCATATGCTGCAAAGCCTTTGACTGAGGATGCCATGAGGGAAGCCTGCGGTCTGCCGCCGCGCCAGCGCTCAGACCAGGTACACGCTAACCTTAATTTGCCAGTTGATAACAGCAGCCAAGACGAGAGAGACCAATTGCACGAGCAGCTGAAGAACTTGCTGCCTGCAATCATGGACCATTGTCTGGAAAAGTGCAAGTATTTCAAGTCTTTCATCACGAAGGGTATGTGGAAGTACGTCAAGCTGCCACCAGACCATCCGTCTCATTTGGACAGAGACGCCATGTGGGATGCATTGCTGCACCACGATCTTCTACGTAAAGTTGAACAAGCGAAGTACAATGATGCGGCCATGCCCGTCATTTCCGTGGATGCTGCCTTCCGTCGACTTGTGCCCACTCAAGCAGATTCCTGGCAAATCACACATGAAGGAGGTACACGACCTTGAAGCAGCCAGGAAGTACATTATTGGAAATGGAGACAGAGAGTCAAATGTGGCGACTGTGCTGCAGCACCTGGAGCTTCTCGGCAAGAGTTTGAAGCATCACGGCAAGACAGGCAGGCAGGAAGGAGGGCTGAGAGAAAAGATTCAGGAAATCGAAAACAAGGTGAAAAAGGTTACGGAGAATGAAAAAGTGCTGTCCAGAGTCATGGAGATCGGTATTTCAGAGGACGGAGCAGTCAAGCGGCGTCGCACCACAAAATCCAACGCGTCGGATGCTGCCAGCTCAAGTACTGCCATCCGGAGCCCTGTGTCGATTACGAATACATATGATCGGTCATTCCAGGGACTAGTGCGCACCCGAGCTTACGTGAAGGGCTTAGGTGGGCAGCTCATGTCTCGCCCGCTGCAGCGCGTAATGCTTCCCGGAACGTATGACTTGGATATCCAGAACTCTATTCACGTTCTATTGTCACAGTTGCTGCGCAAGCTTGACTCCAAAGGCATCATTCCAGAGGAAATTCACGATACCATGGAGGCATGCGCGAAGAACAGGGACGAGATCATCTGCGACGAGCTGAAGATGAGCCGGAAGCAGGGCAAGAAGCTGCTTCATCAGGTGTTTTGGTGCAAACCTGCCGACCGCTCTTAGTGGCAACGAGTTCATGCAAAAGTTTCAGAAAGCTTCCATTTATCTGAAGTGGCTGGCGTGCTCTCTCTTGCCTAAGGTATACAAGCAAGTGAGCGCCATGGAAAAGAAGTCGAATCCGGAAGCCTCTACTCTGTTCTACTTGTACGCAGCAGTGGAAGACTACGTGCTCAACGCTTGGGATCAAGACTTGATGCGACGGCTGCCAAAACACATCTCGCTTCACTTCGACGGGATTCGAGTTGGAGGCCTTAATCCGGAGGTTTCTGCGCAGGTGCTCTGCGACGAGGCTGCTTCAGCGATACTGAAAACCACAGGCTTCGCTGTAACCATAGTCGAGAAGCGTCAGCTCTTTTTCAGGGAGCTCTGTGCATCTCCAGTCGAGCGAGTGGAAGAACAAATCGACGCAGAATTACTCAAGCGTGGAAACTGCATACCGCTGGCAATGGCGCGTTTGCTGCCAGCCAGACAGGATCAGATTTTGAAGGCGTTGACCGCAGCAAATCATAAGAATGCCGAAGCAGAGCAGTCTGGCTCGCGGTGCTACAATTTCTTGCTGAAGGAGATGTCCATATGGGCCGCTCCACGGCTCGGGCTGGACACACCAAAGCCTGGAAATTACCTTCTGCACATGGAGGACAAAGGAACACCGCACTGCATCGCCTGCCGCATCCGAGACAACGAACTGGTGGAGCTCTGGGACGGTTTGCACAAGACGAGGCTGCTACTCCCGGAGCTGGTGCAATTCAGTGAGGAGGCAGTCGACTCCAGCACCATCGTAACTTTTCAGTTGTTCGAGAATGACGTGGAAAGGGAACCATCGAAGACGAAGGAATGCCCTGTTACCACACCAAGTATTTGGTCTTGATCGTACAGCGCGCAGCACAGCTTCAGTTGCTTCGTCCCGCTGGCCACGTACTGTTGCGTAGCTATGTGATATTGGCGTACATGCTTGTTCATTCGGGACGGCCAATGGAAGCTTCCAAAGGGACAGAACGGACATTTTCGTTGCTTCGTGGGCTTTGACGTGAGCTGCTGCACTTCTTTGCGAAGCAAGGAGAGCAGTTGATCTCCCGGACGCACCACTGGCTCCTCGTCCTCTGAGCCTCCGACATCGCACTCATCATCGGAGCCTTCTTAAGGTCCGCTGCGCTCGCATGGGTTTTGTAAGCACGACTGCCACTCCTCGTCTGCTTAGAAGTGCAGAAATCCTCAGGAGCACGGTGCAGCCAGGTCTTCCCAAAACAATCAACGAGGTCGACAGGGAAATACGACTCGTCCTCACTGGCGCAGGTCCGGAGTTCTGGATGCTCTCTTCTTTGAGTCGAAGCAACGCAATTCGAAGAGTGCGAAACCTCTACTACACCAAGGACTTTGCGGACTTGGTGTTCCGTGAGATGCTGTTGTGTCATGGTAAGTGCAAAACAGCAACTTGGATAGTGCTAAGCATTGTGATTGTTTGGCTAGCTGTAAGATATAGCACAAGATGTATATGTAAGGTGATGTCGACAGAATTTGAGACATCTGTTGCTAAGGCCAGAGCCAGAATTACCAGCGCGATCGTGTCCCGGGGATCTTTGACAGCTTCTCTGTTGCCAACTGATGTTCGACACTGGTGGCCCATCATCGAAGATGTTTTCAGTTCACCGGCCGTCTCCAGGTTGAGAGCAGATACCATGACGGCCTTGTTGCGCCAGAAGGAGTTTCAGTACATTTCGATGGATGCTACTATGAAATGCTGCATGAGCATTTTGGGCCAAGAATCCTGGCGTGCTTCGTCTGCAAAACGCAACGCAGCGGCCTTTGACGATGAGCATGCTCTCAGGAAGGTCTTGACTGTGCGAGGACGCACTGGTGCCGTTCTAGGCATGGTCGCTGTCTCATCTGAAAAGGCTCCGGAAATCTGCCTCGCTCTTTCAGAAATGCTTCCAGCGCAAGGCCTGGCTCAGGTCGAATGTGCGGCTTCGGATTCCGCTTCCTTGAAGTTGTATGCGGAGCTAAAGCGCGTTATACCAAATCTGCAGTACCTGACGCTGGACCCTATTCACTTGGTCAATCGTGTATGAGCAGCTCGACTTATGTTCTGGTACGTACGCGATGCAACAGACCGTGCAGGTGTAAGCTTGCTTTTGTTGTATAGCGCTGGTAAGTATGCACACCTCACGATTCACCAGGTACGCCACTTGGCGAAAGAAAACTCCAGGGGCAGTGTTTCTGCGGAAGATCATGAACAAGTTTAACCATGGTGGATCACAGCATGGGCGCAGACCACTGGGGCAGAACCTACAGAGGGTCTGATAGTCGACCTCAGAGCCAAATCGAACGCACTCGACGCGCTTCGATCGAAACATCTTCCATGCAGAAGGGAAAAGCCAGCAAAATTGTGGCGGATTTGGATACCACAGTGCCATTTCGGTGCAGATTGGAGTTCATTGAGGCACTTGCTGCGTTGTCGGCCGTTTTCAGTGAGGACATGTCGCGCCGTGTGACGGGAGCTAATCAGTCTGTCGCCCACATCCTCTGGTGCGCAGCGGAGCCGGACCGGTGTGAGTGGTTTTTCAACAACATCCGATACCGTCATACTCTCAGTTCGGGACTCAGTATCGGTCCACGAGATCATGTGTTATTGTCGAACAGAATGCATGCCGGCTACTGTCTTGGTTGCAGGTCGAAACATTCTCGCCTTCCTCCCGTCAGGCACAGCATCGAATGAAGCACTGCACGCAGAAGTGAAGTCATGGTTTCTACAAACACAGCAGATGCACCAAAGCACATTGCGCCTTAAGCTGTCTATTTTGGGCCTGGACAAAGTGCTCCCACACGTGTCGGCAGTGCATCACCCAACTATCAGCCAGCTCTCGAGTCAACTTCTGCTGGCTCGCATCACTGCCAGCTCGGTTTGGAGTCATGCAGCATGGGAAGACTGGTGCATGTCTTGTATCGATAATGACAGACCCCGGAAGGCCCTCTTGCCAAATTACACTAGTCGCACCGCAGATGTTGAGAAGGTGCGCAAGTGGAATCTTAAGCGTCCCGCAGCTCCGAAGAAGACTCTGCGAAAGCGCACAGTCTTCACGGCAGAACGGGCATCCTGCTTACGCAGTCAAGGGGCGCGGAGAAAGCGATAGGCGGCTAGATTAATTCCATTCGGTTCCTGGAGGACAACCGAAGCGCTTCGGTGGTGGCAAAAACGTTTGCGCATGCGTGGCAGTGCTCACCTCGCAATGCCTGCTAATAGGACGGCTCAGGACGTGTGCATGCCTGGACTTCGATTGGTTTGCTTAGCTGGCTCAGTGCACGCTAGTCAGGAGCAAACATCAAGTTTGGCAGCATGCACTTGCGGCGCTGGTGGGACCAGACCTGGTGGGAACAGACTCGCGACCGTGCGAAATGTCTATGGTATCCGGCTTGCTAAATACCTGGCTTTTAATTTGCTGGCTGCTGTGATGCCACTGATGTGTTTCCCGAGCAGCTGCTAGCAAAATCGAGTGTCTATATCGCGGCTGGCTGGTTTTGATGCAGTATGATGCAACCGATGCCACTATGCGTTGCCTGTAGGCCACTGTAGGTCCGCACATCTGCGAGAGTCTATACACGCCCAGGTTACATCTCAGGAGGGGGCGGGGCGCTCGAAAGCTACAATATGCCTACGTATGCACCATGTGTCACATGCATTTATCGATGCTTGCTGCTCAAGGTTCTAGGAGAGTATCGACTACAGCTCTGAGCCGAAAAGAGACTCCTGCGTTGCTCATAAGCCGTGTAGACAAAGCTCTTGACGCATAATGGTGAGCAACACCGTCTTTGTGTCAGTGTAACACACGTGCATGCGAAACGACGACTCTTTGCTTTACATTATTTATCAGTCGCTTCTGCGGATCTACGTACCTGAATGAGAGATCAATACCCTCAATACTTGGTTGACAATCCTGAGCACGGGGTACAACGGGTTCTACAACGATATACATGAACTATCAAATCACGGATCCGATGTTTACCCGGTCTGTATTCGTATATAATTTTGAGATACTTAACATCGAAAGTTCAGACATAACAGCCATTTGCAATCAATAAGCATTACGTGATCGGTGTGCGCGGTGGCGTCCTCCTGCAGCTGCGCTGGCTGGCTGGTCCCTGTAACTCACTCACTCACCCGCTCACTCACTCACTCACTTGCTCATGTTTCGCAGAAGCATTTAATTTTAGCGCCACAAAACTGCCTCGCCATGGCGGGAGACAGACAACAGCGAAGGGAGGAACGCTGGAACGAGTGGCGGCAGGCCGGATTGGATTGCAGACATGATCAGGAAAGATATATTTTCCTTTAGCGCAAGACAAAGTCCAGATTTGTTTGATTAGCCAACCACCAACTTGGACTTCATCAAGAATGTTTGACCGACCGTATCCATAAACTCCGAGGGCACGTGGAAGCAGTACCTCAAGAGGAAGCAGCTTCAAAGGGAGGCCAGCAATTTCCGGCTCGCTGAAAGTCTTGAAGAGCTTAGCAAGTCAAAATCATTCCTTTCTTGCCTGCAAGGAGGCTGAAAGGATTAAAGCACGCGAGCTGCAGAAGCGGAAGGAGGTATGTGATAAGAGAAGCCATTTACATGTTGCTCTCGCATTTGCAGACATCGAGCTGAAGTTGCTTTCAAGTTAGGGTATGGTCCGTCGGACCCTTCTCCCGCATCCTAACTCAAGCATCAGTCTTTCATGCCTGCGAGGAGGATGAAAGGATGAAAGCGCAGCGCGAGTTGCGGATGCGCCAGGAGGTGTGTAAAGAGTAGTATGTTGCTTTCGCATTCGCAATAATCGAGCTAAGTTGCTTTCGATTTAGGGCGTGATTCGCCTGACCTTGTTTCCTTCTCGAAGCCCTATCGTATGCGTATCTCTAAATCCATATGGCAAATATCACTTACCGAACCAACCACACTATGAAGGCGCAGGCCCGCGATGTGATCAATCGGGCTTGGCGCAAGATTTTGTCCCGCTGCTCGCTTGAAATACGGTGTAGCGCGCGGCATTGCCACGGTCTAAATCATACAGGTTTGTGCATAAGTGCCGGCTGTCCTTGCTTGCACGGCAAAAGCAGACACACTGAGTAACCCTAAGCGTATATACTTTCCTTGAGCAGAGGTTCCACCGGCAAATGGTACCACTGGAAGACTGTCACTGGGGAGTGCCGCTGGTGAGGCTTGGAAGTGCAGCGATTGAGGTTCCAGTTGTTCTGATGTAAAAGCCACAGCATTCTGAAGGCCTACGCCAAAACCTCCTAAGCCCTCAACCCTAAACTTAAACCCGACACCCAAATAAGGTACCCCTAATTTTCGGAAACCCTCAAATGCCTCAAGGGTTCAGATGTAGCTTGAGAAATCCTCAACTTATACACCCTACAACCGCTGAGTCCCCACACCTGAAAGCAACGGGCCAGGGTCCAAGTATCTAGGACCCCTATTTACCATATACTATATACTATACCGTATATACCGTATACTCTACAATACTATATACCACCTGCTATACCTCCGCAAATAACTGGCGTTTCTACCATCCTCAAATCCTAAACCGCAAGAGTGTCCGTTTGTTAGCGACTGGGTGATTCTGAGGCCTGGGGCCTAGGGCATCAGGTAAGCTCGAGGGTCCAAAGCTCGGCGCTCAACTCCTGCTGTCTCCGGTTTAGAGTTTATCAAAGGGGAAAAGGGGGGCCCCTTAATGGGGACCCCTAGCCTACAATGGGCCATATAATGGATATATAATAACTGTATTAAGGGTATATACCTAGGGGTCCTTATTAAGGGTCCCTCCTTTTCCCCTTTGAGTTTAGGGGGTTTCGGGCTTGAGGTTTCGGGCCGTAAACTCCACACCCCAAGC